CAGTTAATAATTCAAAATATTTAAAAAATATTCGGAAAAAAATCGTGAGTCCCTTTGACTCTCTAAATTGTAATTAGCTAAGACACAAAAATTAAAACCGAGGTGAGTACTAAATGAAAAAGAAAAATTAAATTATTTTTTATATAATTGAACAAAAAAGGATTTATTTTTTATCTTGAATATTATTGTTTTTGGTACTATAATCATTTGGTATACAAAATTTATTAGATTTTCTTTTGTAGAAAAGAGACAATATATTATTGATTAATATGAATCAATAGACGTGGCGATGTGTTGCTAGTACTATTAGGGGATGGGGATGTTAATACAAAGTTCGTACTACAATAATTATATTAGTAGACATATATGGCCTTTTTTTGATTGATTTGACTAATTTAAATTAGAATAGCGTAGAATTCATATAAGTAAAAGTAATTCTAATCAATAACTTTTTTATAAAATTAAAATTTGAAATATCTAGTTAAAGATATGTACTGAAATTTGAATATGTTTTAACTTTTTAAATATTTTGACGTAAGTTTTTTGTTTTCCCCCAAAAGTTTCACATTAGACTAAATTTAATTTCCTATAACTTAGTTTCTAATATTTTCGACGGGTTGAAAGCGTCATAAATGACTAAATCTTTTTCTTAAAAGAGCGTAAATTCTGCCATGTTTTAATCTCGGTCTTCCACTTTTTTCATGCCATAAAAGATTAAAATCTTTTTCTTGGAAGAGCGTAGATTTTGACTTTATTTTAATCCCAATTTCTTACTCTTTCGATGAGGCAAGCATAACCTCACCACACTACACTACACTTTGGACACAAAGCATTTCTTCAATTCTCCTTAGCTATAAAAACCCCTCATAGCTTCTTCATTCTCTTCCAAACAAAAACTTTTGTACTTCAAATTTCACTAGGCTATTAAACTAAATTCATAAAAATTAGGAAATAATAAAATGGATTTGGAGACGAGTGAGATTTCAAATTACAAGTCATCAGCAGTTTTGTCTAAGTTGGCTAGTAACGAACAACATGGTGAAAACTCACCATATTTTGATGGGTGGAAAGCATACGATAACGACCCTTTCCACTTGGTGAATAATTTGAATGGGGTTATTCAGATGGGTCTCGCGGAAAATCAGCTTTCAGTTGACTTGATTGAAGAATGGATTAAGAGAAATCCAAAAGCTTCCATTTGTACAAATGATGGAATTGAATCTTTCAGGAGAATTGCCAACTTTCAAGATTATCATGGATTGCCTGAATTCACAAATGTAAGTTTTGTTATTTCTCTCCTTTCAAAAACAAAATGTCACATTAAAAATTAGTATACTTTTTTAATTATCCTCCGTTCAATTCTTAAGAAATATCTAATAAATAAAAGGATTATTCTTCTTAATAGGCGTGAAATAAATTAAACTTAGACTTCTTTTAAGATGAATATGAAATACTTACTACTATTATATATGAATTGTAGCGGTGAAAGTCATTATGAATTTGTACAAAAAAAAAGAAAGTTAATGATCAATTTTATTACTATAATTTTACATTCACTTGGAATAAAGAACTAAGATTACATTTAGTTAGTTGAAATAGATATATTTCTTGACTTCTATCTCATACATATATTTCATTTTATCTGACACTATTTTTACTTGTTTATTGAAAATTTAAAAAATTACATACGTTATTAAAATAAATATATTTTTATCCAATTTTTTCGTATAAAAAAATATTTTTTTTTGTGTAGGCGATTGCAAAATTTATGGAGAAAACAAGAGGTGGTAAGGTTAAGTTTGACGCTAAACGTGTAGTAATGGCTGGTGGAGCTACTGGAGCTAATGAGACTCTCATACTTTGTTTGGCTGATCCTGGTGATGCTTTTTTAGTCCCCACACCCTATTACCCAGGGTATGTATACATATTTCTAAATTGAATTCAACTTATATTATATCGATCGTGAAAAAAATAGATGTTTCTTAATTAAATATTAAATTCCTTCTTGCCTATTTAAAATGCGAATTATATTATATCACTCAGTTGACCTTTAAAATCGATATTATATAATATAATTTGTATTTTTCAAATTGAATAAGTGAAAATAGTCATTTAATTTATTTAGTAGATAAGTAAAAATGGACGGACGAAGTATATAAATACCATTTCAGGTAATTGATTGAGGGGAGATTTTTTTTTAATGAAATAACACTTAGTAATTTAAGAGAGACTATCCGTAATGGTCAAATCTTTAGAACTAATATTAATGGGGGCAACTTTTCCTACTTGTGATTTGTCAAAAAAGTTGAAAACTAACAAACAAATGATATTTTTGGTTCTCTGTCTTTTTATTTTGATTAAAAAAAATGAAATTTTCTCATTTTTTTAAAAAAATAATGGATAGTATAAAAATTATAATTACTTTCTTTATCCTGATTTATGTAACATAGTTTGAATTTCTAGACGTTTCAAGTTTAATTCTGAATTTGTATCATATAAAAAGTATTTATTTATTTTAAAATCGTTATGATTAATAATTCAAATGAAAAAATTGATTGACTCTCGAAATTTGTGATTATACAATGATAAAATTATTTAATGGCTTACATTGGCATGTATTTAAGTCTTCATTTGTATTAAATGCAGATTTAATAGGGACCTAAGGTGGAGAAGTGGTGTACAACTTTTACCAATTTCATGCAAGAGTTGCAATAATTTCAAAATTACAATAGAAGCTATCGAAGAGGCCTATGAAAAAGGTCAACAAGCAAATGTCAAAATCAAAGGCTTGATTTTGACCAACCCTTGTAATCCATTAGGTACCATTTTAGATAGGGACACACTTAAAAAAATCTCCACTTTCACTAACGAACATAATATCCATCTTGTTTGCGACGAAATATATGCTGCTACCGTATTCAATCCTCCAAAATTCGTTAGCATCGCTGAAATTATCAACGAAGATAATTGTATCAATAAAGATTTAGTACACATTGTGTCTAGTCTTTCCAAGGACTTAGGTTTTCCAGGATTTCGAGTGGGAATTGTGTACTCGTTCAACGATGATGTTGTTAACTGTGCTAGAAAAATGTCGAGTTTTGGTCTTGTTTCGACTCAGACACAACATTTGCTAGCTTTCATGTTGTCTGACGATGAATTTGTGGAAGAATTTCTTATTGAAAGCGCGAAAAGGTTGAGAGAAAGGTACGAGAAATTCACTAGAGGACTTGAAGAAATAGGAATCAAGTGCTTAGAAAGCAATGCAGGGGTTTATTGTTGGATGGATTTGCGGTCATTGTTGAAAGAAGCAACACTAGATGCTGAGATGTCACTTTGGAAACTCATCATAAACGAAGTTAAGCTCAACGTCTCCCCTGGATCTTCGTTCAATTGCTCGGAGGTAGGATGGTTTCGAGTTTGTTTTGCAAATATCGATGATCAAACAATGGAGATCGCACTTGCAAGGATTCGGATGTTTATGGATGCTTACAACAATGTTAATAAAAATGGAGTCATGAAGAACAAGCACAATGGAAGAGGAACAACCTACGACTTAACTCCTCAAATGGGGAGTACGATGAAAATGTTATTAGCTTAAATATCATGTCTCCTAATTCTCCAATTCCTTGCTCGTAGTGCGAGCAAACAAAATTATTGTTGTACAATCAAATAAAGTTATAAAGCTTGTAAATAAACTAGATTCGCCCAGGCTCGTGCTAAAGCACGGGCCCAACATAGTTAATTTTAGTGTCCTAACACAACCAAATTAATTTTATGTTGATTTTAGTGTCGCCTATTTCATCGCAACAATATAACCGAATCAATTTAACTATATGGGTAGAATATGACATTGTCATATACCCGTACGAAAACATAAGTTCATATACCTTTAAATAATATTGATCATTTTGTTTAAAATAAGCTACGTATCACAAATACATGATTGGGTAAGTGATAATACACAAATACATGCTTGGATAAGTGATGATAAGTGCAAACAACCACTCCATGTCTATAAACATTATAGACAGAGAGACCAGTAAATGTCTTGTAGGTGATATATTGCTATCTTATTCACATTCTCGAGTCCTATATCATCAATAAACTCACTTCATAAATAATCAATATTAGTGAATTTGAAAGAACACATACAAGTTTCTCAACAAAAGAAGATGTCATACAAGTATCACTAAAATTATCCTTACAACGCTCATTTAACTCTAAGAGGTGCAAACATCAATTAAAAACTAATTCATACATCACCTTTTATTATATAATTATCTGATAATATGAATGTTGGTCTAAATAAGATTTAGGAGAAACACATGATTATTGAAATACATTTTTTATATATAGCTAAACTTATTCAAGCCATGGTACCCCGAAATATAAGGGATGACATTCAAATTTGATACATGTGAGAGTTAACACATGGATGACACAAACATACTTGTTCAGTTTCTACAACTGTGCCTGAATTTCCTTAGTTTTCATCAGCTTCCTATTTGTAGCAGTACTTCATAATGGTCTCTTCCTTGGAGAATGTCATAACAAACCCAACAACACCAACTACTACCATTTGACCATCCATCTCACATGTTTTTCTCTTGTGGAGTTTTACAGTTCAACAAATAAGATGTCAAAATGATTTTTTAGCATCAACATAGTAGTATCTCCCCTTGGAATGAAAGGTAGTTGGAGAACTCTAGCAACCTCGAGTCCAAATAATAAATGTATGTCAAAATTGTGAATACAGACTGAAATGTTATAAATAAAAGGGCGAATTTACTTGATACATGTTTTTCAACTTCTCTCACAATGTGGGTTATTCCAAACTTATAATCCAAGAAGGAAGTCAGCTTGCAAGGTTTGCTTGTATCATCTTTAGGCACTGAAATAAATGAAAAAGGCAAATGAAAAAAATATAATGTATAAGAGAAGACTTGAAATATTTACTAAAATATAGTAGGTGTTGATATTGCGGAGAAGCTAAATTGCTAGATAAAAAAGGAGGCGGCTGCAAATGGTAAAAATATACGTAGGTTAAAAAGTGATAGATTCAAGAACTGAATCATCTAATATCAATACATTTTTTTCCTTTAAGGTACGCAAGTAGCTATGTAGTCGGGTCTCTATATAGAACCATAACTCAGCGGTACTTCTTGCAAGATTATCCTGTTGCTAATTTTCTTTTCCTTATTGTTATTTATCATATTATAGGGAAAGCAAGAAAAAGAATGAGATCTACAATATTTTTCGAAAAATTACAGATAAAGACAATCTTTATGTACCTGCTACAACTAATGTCCCGCATCCACAACATCATCACGGGGTGAGATCACCACAACCTAAGATTTGGCAGAGTCAATTACAATGTTAAATATTCCGGCTTTCCTCCTCTTGAGCAGAACTATTATAGATTATACAAGAAAACTTGCAAGAATCCATTTTCAAAGAACAGTCTCGATAGTTCCAAAAGTTATTAGCAAATTAGATGAAAGATACTATATGCCTCCATCAGAAGGTTGGCAAATACATAGATTCATACTAACATAGTTCATATATGATGGTAAGTTTCGAAAGGAAGAGTTCAACAAAGTTGTTTCTAATTGACACTGACTATTCTTTCTATTTAAATTTGTGGCTTCTTTTGAACTACTTTTTCTGCTAAATTCATCTCATTAGAGTCATGTGGTTGAATGTCTCTCTCCTTATGGTAAAGTGGTATCCGACCATAAAACATCATCCAGTTCCTTGCAGAAACAAAGTAAAGAAACTTGCAACTCCTACCCTCAACATAAATCAATTTATTCACACAAATTCATCAAATAAGAAATCGGTAAGTAGTTTATCAACAACTCTACAAAAAAGTAGTACTTTTTACTCCAATATTTCAACAATCGATAAAAAAATCCATTAACATCTTACCGCTTCCTCTGCTTCTTCTTCTAGAGATGCTCGTAGAAATAAAATTAAAAAAATTACACCTTTTAATAGAAGGATTTACCAAATGAAAAATTGACCCTTGCAACTGAAACTTTATCATTCTACTAATAATCTATCTCGATAAGAACACCTTTTTGATTATCAAAATTGTTTATGTTGGGTCAAACTTAACATTCATATTCATAGATGCAAATACATTGAAAGGAAAGATATACTTACCTCTAAAACAGCCTGAGAGAAATGAAATCGTAAGAGGAGCAGTTTGAAGTCAATTTTTGTGTCAACATTGAAAGAATAGTTGTCAAAAAAGGCACTACACGTGTCTATTCTTATAGTTCACACGTTAGAAGGTGAAAGCTTAAAAGAAAGTGAGTGTCACAAATTACAAATTGAATTTTATTTCAATTGCCACCGCAACACCACTTTAATCAGTATCATCCAAGAATTAGTGTCACACCACTGCAATGATATCATCTAAGAACATGATGATATAACTAAACTCTATTGCACCTATGTATCTTCAAGGATGTATGCACAAATCACAACAAAATCATTTACATGCATATAGGATAATCAGAAATCCACAAGAAACAACTCAAAAGAACAGACAAATTAATTAAAATCCAAAATAGGAACTAACATACACCTTGCAGATAGAGAACTAAGTGAGTATAGTAAACAATGCAAGATTCCTAAAAAATCTCATCAAAACAAAGAGCTGCTTCTCTGACAAACCAAGCACAACATCAAGAGTTCAAGCAAGGAAGTGTACTGTGGTGCTTAGAAAATTAAAAAAAATCATGTCCATTAGCTTGTTCCTTCTTGCATAGCTACAAATATTTATATATGATATTATTCACTTACAACCAAAGGTTGCAGCAGTTCAACTCATCTTTATATGAGTCTGAAATGTTGAGTTGATTTTACTATACTTTGTTGGACACAGTTGATTACCTTAATGTTATAAAGTAATAATATTATTGTGATATAAGCTCTTGAAATTAAAATAAGTTCAGCAACACCTGCAAAGTTGAACAATGAGCATCTCAACCTTTTTCTTAGCCCCCAAATTTTAAAGCCAGAACAGAAAACACAGTAAAACATAAGAGATTAATAAATTATATACATTGTCAATGTAAAATAAATAATTTTTATATGAGATGGTAGGTAGTAATAACAGATAGTATTAAATAAATAGTATTACATAATATTAGTATTTACTGTGTACTAATACAAGTCCTATTAGGATTAGTACTCCTTAATCCTAGTCCTATTAGGATTAGTACTCCTTCCTATATCTCCTATATATATCTCCCATGTATTCCCTTATTAGGTTAACACTTCAATACAATCAATATTCCTTCATGGTATCAAGAGCCAGAAAACCTAGATCTTCTTTTCTCTAGATTTTTTTTCTCTCTCTTTAGGGCACCGATCGTTCCCTCTCTTCTCTTGGGCGGCGGCAGCCATGACAACCGAGGTGGATCCTCTCGATTCACTTCCTTCTGGCGTTAAACTCCTTCTCATGCATCTTCATGCCCTGATTCCCAAAAAAAGACATAAATTACCCTACATGGAAAATCACCGTTCTTACAGCCCTTGAGGCCAATTACCTTCTCAAATACGTCGATGGAAGCACAGAACCGCCGCCGGCAATCATCACTGCCACAGATAAATCCGAAAAAACCAATCCGGCCCATGCTGCCTGGAAAGCCGTGGATGGCCAGATCCGATCATATTTGATTGCGGTCATCTCTCCCATGATTCAGAAACACGTCCGATCCTACACAACTGCTTCAGCCCTGTGGACGACCCTCACAACATGCTATGCATCAATTTTCCACTCTCATATTTTTCAATTGCGTGATCGTCTCCACACAATTACCAAAGGCACGAAAACTATGGCGGAGTATTTAGACGAGGTCTCCACCATCATCACAGTCCTCGACATCGTGAACGAAATCATTTCTGAAAAAGATCTCGTCATGTGCGTCGTTCAGGGGCTCCCATCAGCTTACTCCTCCATTAAACAGGCGGTTCGCATCAGTCCAACGCCCCTTGACCTGACTACTCTCTCCTCATGGCTAAAAAGTGAAGAAATCAACGTGGATCTGGAGAACAAACTTCTTCTCTGAGAAGCCGCTGTAATGGAGCCGACCACTACCATCACTGCAAGCCAGAACTATCGCGGGGGGCGTGGTGGCGGCCGGCAGGGGAGCCGCGGCAGCTACGGTAGAAACAGCGGAGGCCATGGGTGCGGCGGTCGGCAGGGCAGTCGTCCGCCGTACGACGGTCAGCAGCACGGCAGCAACAACAGCCTGTGCTCCTTCGGCAGAGGCGGGCAGTCATCTTCCAGCGGCGGGCAGGGCACTTACGAGCGGGATCGTCCAACTTGTCAAATCTGTCAGAAAACAGGACACACCGCTGCTTGTTGCTGGTTTCGGTATGAGGAGAGCCGAAATAGTGATAACCGTGCCAATTATGCATCTCAAGTCGGCCCTTCCTCTGAATGGCTGTTGGATACTGGAGCCAACATGCACGTTACTTCTGATCTATCCAAGCTTAACGCTCCAAATCCATATCATGGCTCCAATGGTATTACTGTTGGCAACGGTGAGTCCCTTAATATTTCTCACACTGGCACGGGTACCATTAAAACCCCCACCACTATCTTTCACCTAGGTAACCTTACCCACGTCCCTTCTATTAAAACCAATCTTCTTTCAGTTCACCAATTCACAAAAGACAATAATTGCTCACTCTTGTTCACCTCTAATAATTTTCACATCCTAGACAATACTACCAAGAGGGTGATTTTTCAGGGCCCCTGTGAGCATGATCTGTACGTTCTTCCTGGCACAAGTTCGTCTGCCCACCCAGTTTCAGAAAGCGTCCTGTGGCTCCGGTGGCTCTTTCGGCTGATGGCCACAGTCTGTTGTGGCATAGTCGTTTGGGTCATCCGTCTACTCAAATAATAAATTCTTTAATATCTCAATTAGGTTTTCTTCCATTCATGTAAACAATTGAGACTCCTGTTCAATTGCTAAATCTCATAAATTACCTTTTACTTTATCTGAGAAGCGTACAACTGCACCTTTTCAACTTATTCATTCTGACCTATGGGGTCCTACTGCTGTTCCTTCATTTACTGGTTTTCGCTATTATATTTGTTTTGTGGATGATTTTACAAAATACACTTGGTTGTACCCACTAAAACACAAATCACAGGCATACACCACCTTTGTCACCTTGAAAAAATGGTCAAAACACAATTCAATTCTCATGTTAAACTTTTTCGATGTGACAACGGAAAGGAATATATAAATAACATCTTTGGCCAGTTTCTGCAATCCCTGGGAATTATACATCAAGCCTCCTGTCCATACACTCCCGAACAGAATGGGGTGGCTGAGCGTAAGCATCGCCATCTTATTGAAATGGTGGTTACTCTTAT